TTAAAACAAAAGATCACTCATTCACTCATTGACAAAACATCAAATCTCGAAAACTACTTGACTTTTATGAAGCTGAACTTTGGCAAGTAGATAGTTTATAGATATGAAACATCAGTTAATAACGGATTTAGCTTCCGAGTCGAATTAAGGGGGTCTAAAAGCTCTCATATGTTTATATGAAAATGAAAGCCATATATAATTCAAACGGTTTAGTCCTGACTGATTGATAATTAACGTAAAGTCTAAACTAAGTCTAAACCAACATTTTTGTTATACCGGTATAGTTTTTCTGACCCACGTCTTGGCATGGGTCAAATATTTTATGCCGGTATAATCCTCTCTTTTCTTAATGTTCCGATCAATCCCCTGTTTCATATTCTTATCCAATTGTCTTAATATAAGCCATCATAAAATTTATGATTGAATTATTTTCTACAATATTTTTTCTTCACACTGACATTTTTGAATAGATGGAAAATGGAAGATTCAAGAGACGAAGGTAGGTGTACAGTATGACAACAAATAAGAATGGACTGTAGAGGGAATAATATAAATATTTTGTACAAACTACAAGTCCACGATTTTCTTGATATACTGATATAAAAAAATTCGGTATACCAGAATAAAATAAAAAATACCGGCATATAATTATTGGAGTATACTGGTGTAATCAAAATGAATTTCTTCAATAGTACTACAGTAGTATTACTGAATAAAAAATATGAAAATTCAAAAATGACGTTTCCTGTGTTTTCACAACCATTCATATGTCAACCTATATTGAAAATTCATGAAATAGATGGAGTATTAGTTAAAATAAATTTTGGTGTTGCCATTTTTCATTTCCGTCCACCCGTTGACGAGATATTCCACTTTTAAATATGGTTCAGAGCGAGGGAGGGAGAGTAATAGAATAAAAAAGTTAAAATGCAGTGAGCAGTTTACTACACCGGGAGTTTTGAGTATTACCGGGAGTTAATAATAACCAGTGTAAAATACTCTGATTCGTAATTAGATAAAACCACGGTTGTGATAATAACACAACAGTTACCTACTTGATCACGGATCAGAAAACATTTTTTCTTCAGTAATACAGTACCTATTTCAATACAATGGTTATACAAATTAAAATATTATAACACCATAATTATATCAAATGTTTTTTAGAATGTATTGGTTTTACAATGATGTTTATTATTTTTTTTTTTTTTATCTGTGAACAGCTTTTCTACCAGCAGTCTTGTTTCGATTTACAATGACAACACTTTTTCTGAAAGGAAATCTGACTAGAAGTCATTTTTCAATTTTCCCAGGAGTTTTCCCAATAAATTAGAAATGTATACAAATCATGATTATATTATATTATATTATTGTACTGTTATTTGTATTATATTATTATTATTTTTATTATCTTAAATTATTTAACCCGCCATACGTACAATATTTTTATTTTTATCTTACACAATCTATTGTAGCCTATTGTATACCCCAATTGTTATTTTAATTCTATTTTTTTTTTTATTTAAGAGTTCATTTATTATTTTGTCACTGATTATAATATTAATTTAATGGCTTAATATTCAATATTAATTTATACTAATCAGTAATCAGTAATCATATAAAATGCATATTGGAGTATTGCTACAAATAAAAACACTATGCAAGTTGACATAACACAATATGTGAATATTCTAGTTTAAAATTTGATTTGAGTGAAAAGTACAATTTTTAATTTTGTTAATCATTCATTAATAAATACCATTTTTTTTTTCTGGCCAACTTGTACTTCTTAGAATGTTAGTTGTTAGTGAGTTGTGAGTTCCACCACAATGAAAATACAATTTTTATTTTGTGTTCTTGATATATCTATCACCTATGTGATATGTCTACTGTCTAAAATACTGTAAACGGATCAAGAGAAATAAACTGATATAAACAGGTGCTTCTTTTCTATTGGATACTTTGGGAATGTGCCCAGGGCCCCGCGATCGATAGGACCTCCTAGTTCCTACCAGATCACTAACCGATAACCCGATATTTATTACCGATAAATAAATTTATTTCGTGAAAAACCAAAGGAAATTTACTGACTACAAACTTGCCTGCTCACAGGCACGACAGTTTAAATGTAAGATTCATTTAGGGGGTCGTGACAGTAAAAATGTTAACAAATACTGTACAAAAACACACCCCAAACGCTCCATCCAGTTCCGCCGATAATATTATTAGTTAAGCAATAACAATTTAAGTTAACATGTTGGCCACACTGTGACGATAGATTTTCCGACCGTTCGGTGATTTTCCACGCCGCACTCTCCAGTCGCCACAGCCGTTTACCAAACAGTATCTTCGAGTTAAATAACATCCGCAAAAAATTTCGGATTGGCCGCACGTCTCTTGAGCGCGTGATTATGCGTTACCTAACTCTGTACTGCGTGATTTTTTTTTGTATTTTAAAAAAAATAATAACAATAATTCCTTTTTGAAATTTCCGATATTGGATCGAATATATTTTGATTTTTTTTTCAACTATCTAAGGGACATACAACCAATCGGCAACAGTGTGCATTTTTTTCTGATATTCAAACATTTATTTTTTTTTTTTATATACAATTATATGGTATACTTATTATATAGATACTTAATTACAACTCATCTACAAAATTAAATCGCAATAAAATATTTGTATTATTCACACTGTTAGAACATCAAATTTTTTAAGTGCACAGTTTTTTGGATACTTGAAACAGGGAACTTTTTGATAGGAATATTTTTACTCTAATTAGGGTTGTTTTTAACGTGTGTATGGACATATTTTGCTTAGCTTTAAATGAAAAACGCGCGACAGTAACTTAAGAATTGCGCGATTTTAATTTTAAATTCTAAATTCGAATCTGTAATTGTTTTGATGATCCTTGTACGATATGGTTTAACTAATCGCGGTAAACTAACAGCACTGCTGCAGCGGTAATAATTGTGAATAGTGATTACGATCCCAGGAAACTTTCAAAATAATAATGTTCGGCGCTTTTTTCGTGCTAGTCACAGAAATCGAGATTATGTATAATGACTCGATGACCGCGTAGGCGTGTATGTAAAACAACGTACCTGTTCCAATCGCTCGGATACATCATTGGGGTGTAATTCTAAAAAAAAAAAAAAAAAAAACAAGCTGAACACGACGGGATAAATTCTTGCTCGGACATCTTGAAAGTCGATACAATTGGTTTACAAAAGTCTGCGCTATTTTATAACGGCCGATATCAATTTTAATTTAAAAAAACTCACGACGATCGCAAGTGCCGCTTTTATTATTTTGATATCGCTTTAAAAAAAAAAAAAAAAAAAAAACAAGCTGAACACGACGGGATAAATTCAATGAATGACTTGAGATTCCGCGAGATAATATTAAAACTCGTTTCGTTCGTACACGTTGTACAATATTAAAATTGATTAGAAATTTCATTGTTATATTTTCGAGTAGTCCAACTACTACATGCACTCGTACCATACAATCGTATTCGTTTACACGGATACGCGGTTATCATATACTACACCGACGTTTTACGGGAAAATAATGGAATGAATTTTAAAATAAATACACAACATTAAAATGTAATAATGTGTTGTTATCCGCACGTTTTTCGTTGTGTTGCACAGGCGTTATTGGTGTTCGATTATTAACTATTAAGGCGCGTGAATTGACGAAACACCTACGCGGTACACGACCGATTTACTATTTAATTAATTAATTATTTGTTACCGTACAACTGGTATGTTACAATAATGTTAACACGCGATGCTTAAAAATGATTCCGAAACGCCGTTTGCACGACACCGGCGTTCGCGATGGTTTTCAAATAGCTAATCGCGTTCAAGTTCGATTAATTTCACGTCTGATATATTCGTATTGTTAATGTCACTTTTCAGTGCGCGTGCGAATTTATCCCATCTTTCTTCTAAACTTTTATTACAGTTTTGTCAATAGCAGTTTATTATCCAACTGCATCCTACACCGAGATTCGCACTAATGTCTACCATATTTCAAATATCCTAATGTCACTTTTTCTCTTCTTTTTATCTATTTTTTTTTTATAGTATCTTTAATTTAAGTTCTGTGTGTGTGTGTGTGTGTGTCCAATAGTCGATACAATCAAACCGTGATCATTATCGACAATTAAGATTGGATTTGTATTCTTAAGGGATTTCGTATAGGCAATCGAAACGACATTTTTGAAAACATTCGTATTCATTTGCTCAAAAATAATATTCAAATTAAATTTCAAATAAATTTTAAAATATTACTATAATCACAAATGCGCCTATATTATTCATTGTCGTGTAAACCTAACCGACCGTGAAATTCGTTCAAAAACATGTTCTCATAAAAAACAAAACAAAAGTACCTGCACATCAGAGTGATTTTAATGATTTTACCTAGGTACCTTGTCATTAGACATTAGTACCGATTGCTTTTACGAATAATGACAATTGTGCACTGTCGGTGCTACACGATGACATCGATTTTCAATTTGTTCGAATTAGACGGTAGATGTCGATGATTATAACGTGGAATTTTTTTACAATCCAAAAACAGTCCTATTTCCATTTGTATTTTTTAAATCGATATTTGATTAAACGGATACGCTGACATTCCGACATTCCCTGGAGATATTATAACACGAGTGTTGTTTAATTTTAATCGTGGGCCGATGTTTAACGCTAAACCATACTCGTTTCGATATTAAAACAACACAATTGTCGACACGATGATAATGCATTTTGGTGAAATCGGACGGATTCGCGATCAACGAAATGTAACCGTGTTTTATGCTTTTCGACCGCGCTCCGGAGAGCTACCGCTGAGCCCAGCTGTCCTCGGCACCGGTGCGTCACCGCCTACGTTTCGGTTGGCAACCGTGGCCGGGCTGCGAAAATATTGATATCATATTTTCATCTTTTCATTTTACTTCTCACTCCGCTTTTTTTTTTTTTTACCTGTACGACATAATAGTGATAATAGTGCAAAGCTGGGCTTTGATAGCCAGCGCTCCTTAAGCCAACGCTCCAGTTCGCAATAGTCCACCCGAGCAGTTCGATCCGGTCGCTCGACACCAACAATATCCTACGACGTGATCCGGGACTCCGCGGAACCATTACGGGGTATCGGAGCGGTGATAGTATCGTCGTAACATCGCCCGGGGTCTACCTATACGTGCCACGGCCCGTGTGACATACGATCGAGCGATTCGCAACAGTCGCCCGTGCCCGCCGCCGCCGCCGCCGCCTCCGCCGTCGTTTCGTATGCTCTCGCTCGCCTGCAACAATCAATAATCCGCTCGATTGGGTCCGTTGCGCCCTTTAGCGCGGGGTGTCCGATCACATCCAACACCGTCTTTTCGCCCGTCCGTTCGCCAGCAACAACCATTGATTTCAGGTGAGTTAATTGTTTGCTACAGTTCGGCGGTCGTGGATTTAGGTGTCCTGTTCTCAATTATTCGAGCGTCCACGTCGTGCGTCCGACGACGATTGTGTGGTACACGTACCTACCTTCAATTGCCAAATTAATATTACCTAGATAGAAATTATATGTATTTAATGCCGTCGCACAGTGCTTTTTTAATGAGCGGCCGGAATCACTAAACGTTTTATTGAATATTTACCGTGAATAACTAACCTTTGCGTTAAAAATAATAATTTTAATAACAGAGGTGTATGCACCACTTTAAACGTGTACAAATTTATCGTTGCCGTTTCTTATTCATACAAAATATATCTTAGGATCAATTTTAATTGTGGCTGTTTTTAAATAATATAAAAAATAAACTTTGTCTTCTTAATTGGGTGATATGTTGTAGATTTATGGTGTTGATAGATTAGGTACCTAATGCATTGATTTACCTATTGCTTTTAAAATTACTGATCACCAAAATTGAATTCTCTAGTACTTGTTTTGTAAAATCAGTCTTCCACGGTTATAATTATAATCTAAACACATTATATTCTGTGTGACTTTAAACTATAAACAGCAATATAGATAATAAAATTAAATTTTTACAGCCGTTTTGGAAAAACAAAATGTTCTTTACAAACACAAATTTATGCTACATTAACAAAGTCTCAAAATAAATCCGAAGTCTCGGAAATGGCAAAGAAAAATGATGCATCACGTTGGATCAATGTTTCTGTTGTGGGACTTTCTGGAACAGAAAAAGAAAAAGGTGCTATTGGAATCGGTAAATCCTGTTTGTGCAATAGGTTTATGAGATTTCTTGCTGATGACTATAATGTGGACCACATCTCTGTATTAAGCCAGGTAGGTATCTTATTATTAATTAGATTTCTTTAAATGAAAGTACCTACTTAAAATATTACATTTCTATGTATATTTGTTTTAGTCTGATTTCAGTGGCCGTGTTGTTAATAACGACCATTTCTTATACTGGGGAGATGTTACGAAAACATCTGAAGAGGGTATTGACTTTACGTTCCAAGTTATTGAACAAACAGAATTTATAGATGATTCGTCATTTCAACCATTTAAAGGTAAATTAATTTCTTAAATATAAATATATTTCTTGTGTCTTATGAGAGGAATTTTTGACAAGACTACAAAATTGTCTTTAGTACCCATTCAAAATGTTATAATGTGTTAAGAAATTTTCCATTTTTTTTTAAAAATTTTTTTTTTGTATGGTGTATAATTAATGAGCAAAAATATGTAATCTGAGACCTATTGGGCACATATAAAAGGTATGAATACATACAAATATATTGAATAACTACAATTTAAAAATACAGTATGATATAAAATCACCATTACCCTCACCCTCAAATTTGTTTAAGTCATTTTTGAAAAATCTACATCAGCTAAAATAGCTATTATTCACAAGTATTGTAGGTATTCCTTATAGAAGTCAGTACCTATGTTTTTATAAAGTCTTTACTATTAATCAACTAATAAGAAATACTTATATAAAAAAATGTCAGGATATATTTAATACATAGAGCAATTTAAGAAATTATTCTAATTGTTCCAAATTCACAATATTTTCCTTTAATCAAAAAAATTGTATCTGTTATTTAATAGTTATTAAATATTAATATACACACAGCTGTCTATAAATAAATAATACAAATATGTTTTATAATACGCTTAATGCATTAAGCTCAAAGATAGTTATAATGTTTTTGCCTTCATCTGGATTTAATAACATATTGGGTATATAGGTTTACAAAACATATGCTTAAAATAGATAGGTATTGAGTTTGCTGATGTATATGAAATTATGCATATATTTAAGACATTATTCTACATAGAATGATACAATTTGTTTCTACGTTTATATAGAATTACATAAAAATATCATAATACATAATGACAAATAGTTTAATGATATACATTGAATATTTTCCAAAAAAAAATGTTTTTTTTATTTTTGAGAAATTCATTGATGAAATTTTGTAAAGTGTTTTTAAGTGACTCTTAATACTTATAAAATATATTTGTTGTAATTATATTTCAGCTGGAAAAATGGATCCATATATAAAACGATGTGCCGCTTCTAAAATAACATCTGCAGAAAAATTAATGTATATATGTAAAAATCAATTAGGTATGTAAAAAGAAAACTAAATATTATATTAGAAACAATTACATGTTTATATTAAAATACTTTGTAACAAATTATTATAGAAATATCTTAATTATTTACAGGTATTGAAAAAGAATACGAACAGAAAGTATTACCCGATGGTAAATTCAATGTTGATGGATTTTTATGTGTGTTCGATGTGAGTGTAGTTCCAAGTCGCAGTATAGAAAAACAAGTGGAAGCTGTTAATAACATTTTAACAAACTTAGTTAAAACCAAAAAACCAGTGGTTTTGGTGACTACAAAAAATGATGAATTTAATGAGGCTTATGTCAGAGAAGTTGAAAAATTAGTGGCTCGTAAAGAATTTAAAGGAGCTATACCAATTGTAGAAACATCTGCACATCAGAATATAAATGTAGATACAGCATTTATTGTACTTGCACATTTAATCGATAGATTTAAAGGACGGACAAAAATTGTTCCTTATTTGGAATCTGTTCGTATGAGAAAAGAAGTTTTAGATAACACTACTGATGCATACCAAACATTAATTCAACTACAGGTTAACTCAATTTTATTTGTGTAATCATTTTTGTGGGGTTTTATTTTTTACAAGTTTTCTAAATTATAGGTCACTGATTACCGTGCATTATGGAGCCAAATTTCCAAAAAAATTTCTAAATGTGAGGAGTACATTAAATATAGAGAAATATTTGGATCAGATAAAGCTCAAAGACTTTTCCGGAGACATGTAAAAATGTTAAAAGATGACCAAGTTTCCAAAAAAATTCAAAATTACATAGAAATGTTGCCTGATATATTACAAGAATTAATCCCTGAAATTTCAACTTTAAAAGATGGGTTAGTTATATTATTTAAAAAAATAGAGAAATAAATTTGTCTACACAACTAATACATTTTTCACCTAATATTTCAGTGATTGGCCAACTGTTCAAAAACACATCAGAGAACATCCAAATTTTAAGAGTTACTTTTATGAATGCCCTGATGATATTCCATGGACAGAATGTGAGTTTGATATGGACAATGAAGGAATTGGTAAACGAATTCCATGTAACGTCTTAGAAACAGGAGAAGCAGAATCAGTTTTCAAAAATCATGCAAATAATTTACAGTTGGAACAAAATAGACAGGAGTATGTATTTAACACCTTAAAATAGTAAAATTAATTTATTCTTTTATACCTATATTTTTTAAATTTAGATGGAAAAATCAATTTAAAAAATTATTACAAGAAGCAGGTTATGTAACGCCTGGCAAGCCAATGGCTGAAATTAAAGTTCTTTTTATGGGCCGTGAATGTTTTGAAGCACTTTCTCCAGATGAATGTCAATATATTTATGATAAACACCAAAAAAGTATTATTGAAAAAGCTAAACATAACTTTCAGGTACTATAATTTGTAAACAGATTAAAAATTAATATACTTATATATTTCATAATATTATTTTTAATATAGGAGTTATTACTGGAACATGCAGACCTATTTTATCATTTCAAAAGTGTAGCTCCTACTGGAACAATCACACAAGATGATATAAAAGAAATTACAGATAATCTCAAAGATGATTCTAGGTAGTGTTTTATATAAATTTATTTTGACATTTAATTATTTTAAGGGGGTTGAGACATTTTTAATTTAATGAGAAAAATGTACTGCTATATGTATTTGGTTTTCAATGTAATAATAATAACATAATTAAACATAAAACATGTTTTTCCATGTAACAGAGAAAATCATGGTTTTTCATTTTATATCTCATTATATTCTTAATATATATGAATAATGCATTTTCTTATAGGTATAAGGCATTGGACAGATTGGATCAAGATAGAAAATTAATGTTATTTCAACATTTGGGTTTTGTACATAGTCCAATAAGAGAAAATTGTCCAGCTTTTCCAAATTGTGTGGATTTATTGATTGAAAAATATCTTACTGAAAAAGTTCAAAGGTATTATTAAATTAAATCACTGAATCTAATTTCCGAATGTGAACTAAATTATTTAATATATTTTATTTTATACAGACCTACTACTGGTATTAATAAACAATGGGTGATCAAATCTGAAAATAATTTACATTTAATCATACTAGGATCTAATGGTTTGGCAGAAGAATTTTCTACCCAATTAAAAGTAACTAATTTATTATGATTGCTGCATTAGAGACTAAATTATCAAATAATATTAATTTTTTCAGGCACAGTGTGACAATAAAAATTATGAACTAGATAATCACACTTACAAATTAAAATATCGAGTAGTTAATGGAGATGTTAATTTATCACAAAATTCATTCCAAACACCTGATTTTAAACCTAATGGTACATATTATCATTAATTATAGATATTCAATTTTAAATAATTTTTTTTTTTTTTAGGCTGTATTTGTATCTATTCCAATAGTGAATCATTTGAGTATATCAGGGAGAGCTTCGAAAAAACTTTATTATCTAATCTAGAAAAGGATGACAAACTTCCATTTCAGGGGCTACCTATAATTTTGTTATATATAAGTGAATCTGGCATTGGACAAAAAGATTTAACCTTGTTAGAAGAAGGGCAAAGTTTAGCTGACAGGTAATTGGAAAAATTTGTTCAGTTTTTATCGATTTTGTATTCAACAAATATATTTGTTTGTTTTATTATTATTATGGTTAGTAAAAATAAAAATGAACCATTTTTTATTTTATTTTGCCAGTTTACAATGTCCATTTATTGAAATGCCTATGGAAAGTGGTGATTCGTCTATGTTTAATACAGATTTAATTTCTAAAGCAATGAAACTGCTTGTTGAAGGTATAACACATAGAATTGGATTTTTAAATGAATATCAATCTATTATGGAACAGTCTGATCCTGATATACGGTACAATAAATAATAATTATTTTTTTTTGTTATGACTAATTAGCAATTATTTTCATTATCTAGTATTATAATATGTTTGTTCTGTGGTGATCCATATTCTGTTGAAAGTATATTGGCACCATTGCTAAGTCATCAGTGTTGTTATTTAAATGGTGACAGAAGTGTTATCATAGAAACTTTTCTTGGTACTACAAAACGTAAAATAGAAGTTATCATATCTTCATATCATGGTGCAAATGCATTTCGTGAGGAATTAGTTCATGGATTTATATTAGCTTACTATGCTAAACGAAGAGCATCACTAGCTACTCTTAAGTAATTCATTAATTATTCATTTAAGAAATAACAATTTAATACTATTTTACATTATTGTTATTCATTTTATTTTAGTGGGTTTTCATGTAGTTCATTTTCAACTAATATTTCAAACTTACCTATTCAAATAATGGCAGTTACAGAATCAGTAGGAACTAATTCATTTTTTAATGATATAAGTCAACAACTTCTTAATGATGGAAGTTCAATAGCTGATAGATTAAAGGCACAATTTGTTACAACTACTGATGTTTCAATTCACAAAAGTAAGTAACTATATTTGTTGATTGTTAAAGATAAAATCAATTTATTATATAATTTTTTAAGGTTCATTCTATAATCTATTCTTCAAAGATGTTTGGGAAAAGAAATCTGAAATTGAACATGCTTTTCATATGGAAGAATCTACTTATAGAAAAATAAATCCTATGTCTAAAATGAATCTCTCATCACACGAAGGGTGAGAATTAATTTTATTGTTATCTGTGTAACAAAACTGTAACTAATTATATTTTAGAAGTAGTAACGTGTATGGAATACTTCAAGATGATGATAATTATTCTTTAACTCAGTCGCGAGAAAATGTCTTGAGTCCTAGTGAAGACAGTGATACTTTTTCACCAATAGAAAATATGCTTCAAGGCACGAATAATAATTTAGATAAACAACAAGGTAGTGATCAAAGTTTATTATTTTTGTTATATTTTGCAATAAAATTAATAATAAAATTCAGTTTAACCCCTGTCAGCTTAGGAGATAGATTTATAAAAAAAATTGTTTGAGAATTCAATCAAAATTTTAAATCCATTTTCCCAATATTAAAAACAATCATATTTTATATAGAAAATTATTAATTTTTATGAGGTTTATAAGCTATTTTTATATATTACTCAGTGTTTAAAGACTTCAGTTCATAAAATGCATCAAGTATCATTCATAAACACAGTTTATATTATATGTGTGTATTATACTTAAACTTATAACATCATATACAACTTTATCCAAACATGAATTGTTTCTTTTTGGAACAAGTTTATTTTATGGTTCCTACTCACAAGCTTAAATTTTTTTATTTTCAATTTAAGTTTTCGATGATAAGAGTATATTTTAGACAAAAATAGTTTTAAAATTTTTAAAATTTTAAATAGTATGCAATGTATTAAACAATATTATAGGTTATAGGGAATCTGCTTACCATTATAACTAATATTGTGTGGTACTCGAGTGCATCAGAATAGAGAATACAGACCTATTAACCTAGGGGTAAAAAAGTACCTAGGAATGTAAATTACTCTTGTAAGGAAGTTAATAGAAAGCTAAATATTGCTGTGTGAGAGAGCCTTAAATCACCTCCATTTGCTCCCTCATTTTGGAATTTTTATTGAAATGCCCCTATTGGTTTTATATAAAACCCATGTTGGGTTAGTAAGAATATACTATCATTAATATAAAAAAACTAAATTTGTGAATGGGTTGTTACAATGCATAAAACCTTCTTTTTACTTATTACTTATTAGTATTTTCTCCTCCTGTTATTAATTCTTTTCAGTAATTTAATATCCACTTTTTTATTTGGTATTAATTAATAAGGTAAGTCTCAATTGTTTGATATATTTTTGTTAATAGGTCATGTATATGTATATTATTAAAAATATGGTTTCTAATGTTGGTCATTACTCTTTGAATATATAGCATTTCCTTGACTACACAATACAAAACTTGATGATGACATTAAAGTATGACACCATGACTAAAATCTCAGAGATACCTCCAGGTATTCTGCAAAACATGAAAAATACTTAGGAGTAGAATTGATTGAGGGAAAACTCTAATATATGTAATAGTATGTATTGTATATCTTGGCAATTGAATCATCTGACATGAATATTTTAGGTCCCTTCTCACCTCTTTAAAATAGCACCTTATAAAAATTAATTCTTCCACAGTTGTAAACCTTCTGTAATAATAGTTATGATGACTTGTTTTTTTTGTATAGTTCCTCCAATAGAAAAACCTTCTGCACATCTGTTAGTATACAATAAAAACAATATCAGCTTTATCTATCCCTGTTTCTAGACATTTCAATATAAATATCATTTTCTGCATTCTTTTAAGCCATAATGTTATTATTCTCTAACAAGCTGTTGTGATGGCTATTGCAATTTACATTGCTGAGAATCATTCTACATTATACACATAAAATCTCTGTTGTTATAGTTAACATCACTATATCATTGCAACATCATTGTATCACTGTTGGAACAATATGTTTTTGCTTAAAAATCTTAAATAATAAATATATTATAATTTTAACAAAATTTAAAAATATTTAAAGGACAAGAAAGAGGAGTTTTTTTGTAGTCTTCAATCATTTGCCTCCCAACTACCCACTGACTCTATGATTCATCACAACCAACTAGTGGCAAAACCAAGTTGACTCAAGGTTCACAGATTCCCCTTTGGCCTAATAAATATTTTTTAAAAATGTATATTTGAAATTTTTATTTTTCATTTATAAATTCAAAGTTTATTGAATTTTTCCCAAATATAGAGATTATTTTGTCTGTGTATATTTTTATAATGTAGTATTTGTATATCTCTCCCTTCTTATATATTTAAACACTTAAAAACTCCCTCTGGACCAAAAGAACTATACTCTTTTATAGGCAGATGGAAGTGATAAAATGTTAGCTGAATTTCAACATGGACTTTTGTAACTGGAAAAGTGTTTTTTTTTAGCTTTGTATACCTTTTTAAACCCTTTTAAATGATGCTAGGGAAATGAAATTTTGTATATACATAGTGAATGTTCAAGAATATGCCTTTTGGTGGTTTAAATTTTTAATCTCCTTTCCAAACATTTTTATGCTCGGATTTCATGTTCTTACAGAAAATACTTGTTTTTGAGGATGTGAAAATTTGAACCTCCAACCCCCTGACCCTATAGTCTGTTTATATATTAGCAAATATATGTGATAGTTATAGTGTTTGGTATTTCATTAGAGCAATACTCAAAATTGCATTAATTATTAGGTATATATAACTTAAAAATGTGAATTTTGTTTTATAATGAAATCATGTTTAAATCCCCTTAAGCAAATCCTAATTCTATCATTGCAATCAACTATGTTTGGTTATGATAACTTTTATACTTTTTGACTTTTCATTTTGTGATTTTTTTTTCTCGTAAAATATATTTATGGATTAGAGTCAATTCATATATTATCACTGAATTTTTGACTTCCACAATGATAACACCAAATCAATAGGTTTATTAGTTTTAAACTTATTTTTCACAAGCTACTGATCAACAATTATTGTTAATCTTATTATATTTTATACCAATTCCATTAAAAAAAGATTTCATATTGTTGATATGTTACTTCAAAAAATTAATAATATTTAAAATAGTATTTTATTTGTCATAATTAAGTAAACAAAATTAGGGTTACTTTAATACTGATATGAATATACACTCGCTTAGGTGGTGCAGAAAATTCGGGCTTTCAGGTGTACCCTCAATCTTCAACGCCTCCTGAACCCGCTCCGCCTGACTATACTGGATTCTGTGTCGACAACAATTCACAGATGGTTACTTCAAATTCCAGTCTAGATGAAATCACATGTAACAAAAATAAAATTCTTCAAAATTTTCAATGTGGTTTCCCATTTATAATTAACAAATCATTATTATTATTTTTAAACATGTTTGCTCATACACATTTTTATCTTCTTCAAATTAATTAATCGGCTTTTTATCATTTCTTTCAAGATTTTATACATGTTGCATGTTAAGTCATTACTGTTTATTTTTAATTATATTTTATTATTTTTTGATAGCATGTTTTTGACCTGCATCATGTTAAAATATATATGTATATACATATTGTGATTAAAATAGAACTAGAAGTGATTTAAAAATTATAACAAATTATTTAACTAATAAGTGTATAGAGGGATAAAATATTCAACTACTAGTACAAGATTTTTATTCACATACTTCATCAGAGCCGGATTTAGTAATGGAGAGACCCGGGAAAAAGGATAGATTGATAACTATTTTCTGAGGTTTTCATAATATAGGTCTTAGTTAAGTTCTTAAAATAATTTAATTTCAAATATTCCTTAATAAAAAATGTCCATATTTTTATTATTGTTTATATCACTCTAAAAGTATATAGTTGAGAATTAAAATTAGATTCAAAATTATAATAAATATTTAAACAAAAATCGCCCACACACATTTTTAATTGATAATGAATATGAAAATATGGTATTTTTATTTCAAGACTACAATTAATAGTTAATACTTATAATTAACAATTAATAGTTATAAATACATTTTTATTATATATATATATGGCACGTGGTTCTAAATCCGGCCCTGTACTTTATACAATGCTTGAATATTTTATGCATTTTAATGAATATGACACCAACCATCCCTGAATAAATCATTTATTAAAAATGGTACACTTAGTTTTTCTCTATTTTTTTTTTCTTTAATTATTAGGATCTAAATCAATTGTGTACATGATTGTAATGTTCTATTTTTAGTTACTGTAGAATTAGTCTGACCCACACCTAACCTTATTATATTTAGTTACTTTCATCCTACATCCGATAATGTTTTTATTGTTGTTATTACTATTAACACATCTTATCATTTAGACTATATTTGACTGCAATAAGTATGCTTGGTAAAATTTAAAAAAAATCAATATTATAATACAAATTTCTTCTGATTTAAAATTTTGAACCAACAACCAAATTCTCATTTGTTTTTAAAATGCAGCAGATGTTAGTGGATCGAGAGAGTCATTAAGAACACAGGAGTCAGGTAGTTTTATTTAGAGTAAAATTACTAAAATACTTAACATTTTGTAACATAAGCCCTAATATTTTTTTTTATTTAATTAATTATTTTTATATTTTTAGGATGGGTAGATGATTCTATATTTATGCAATGTCCACCAAATGAAAGTTTATGGATAAATAACTATTCAAAACATGCTTTTACAACTGGTCGTCATCATATGTCTAAGTCTCGGTTTAAAAATAATAATCATACATTAAAGGTATTAAGATTTGATACTATACACATTTACTTACCCTGGCTTGAAAAAAAAAAACATTTGATACTTATTATTAAAATAATCATTACAATTGTCTTTTATTCTCAAAGTTTTTTTATGTTTTTTTAATCATTGTTCTGATTTTTAACAGCAACCTGGTAAATTGAATATGAAAGATTATACACTTGTCACAGACGCCATCTCACGAATGAATCTCATAACTAATAAAGAAATCTATAACCCAAATATGAGCTGTGCACCATTAGCAACACCAGAGAATGTAGATTTAGGTTCAGAATTTGCTCAGGTTTGTATTTTTTAATTGAGATAACTATTAAATAAAATTATAATATAAAATTAAAATGTTAAATTACTTTCTAGGTGAAAGATACAGCATTAAGCCATTATCCATGTGATGCTGAGTTTTCATATTCATTAGCTCCAGATAATCTTACTCCATCTAATAAACTTAAAATAAGGCATCGCAGAGAAAAAGGAAGACCTCGTATGTTTATTTTCATTTGATTAAATTTAAACTTTTACATAATATTTATGTGGTTTTCAGATTATTCAGACTCCGACAGCGATGAATGGAGTTCTATAGAAAGACGTGAACCATTATATAATTCATCAAATGATACATTTTCTAAGTTATCTCGTAGATCAGCTACTCAAAAACGTTCTAAAAGAAAGAGAACTGCCATACCTGTACCTACACCTAAAGTTCCATCACTAAATCAATCTTCTAATGGATCTAACATGAATTTCAACTCATTATCTGGACAACTTGGTAATTTTTAAGAATAATAATTAAACTAAGAATGATATCTATATTTTATAAATGTTTATTTATTTATTAGTGCTTAAATATTTTAATTTAAATTATTTTAGTACCCAATAATTTACCACCACCTCATCATCATAATTCAGACTCCTCAACTGATAATTCTGATGATAAAACTAATGTTTGGGTTCATCCTTCAATTAGACAAATGGAAAAACGTTCATTACGGTATAAACGTAAACATATGGTTATACCTCAACCGCCAATTATTCCATCTGGACCTATGAATAACAAAGATTATCATGGTGTTACTGAAAATGAAACTATGTTTTTTAGTAGATGTGAGTAGGAAATTTTAATTTATTTTTAGATAAATTCTAATAATATTATTTTTAGCTTCACATATGCAAGAAATGAGTTATAGTATTGGGGAAGAATCTAGTATTGATTTATCATCACCAATTTTTCTAAATTCGTCATCAGTAAGTTTTATAATTTATAATAATACATAAAAATAAATTTACTTTTATTTATATTACCTCTAAATTTTATATGTTTAAATAAATGTAGGGGAAAATAATTAGTTTATTTGATTTAGTAAAAAATATTTGGTATAGGTCGTTCTTTAGAAGCATTTTTAAACTATCATAACAATTAATTGTAAAATTATACCTTTAAATTAAAACATTAATTTAACTTAAAATCTGTAATTATTAAATAGTCCAAGAGAAATTGTTTAATGATTAAGTTGACATTTATTCTGCTATTCTAGTAAACTCTGTGTATTCATAAAATTATAATATTTAACTTTAAGATAATAACAAAATATTGTATACTTTTTAGACTATATCCAATTTAAAGGGGAAAGATGATAAATCCATAAGGCGAAAGGAAAAACAAAGGATTAAAGATGAAGTCAAATTAGAAAAAAGACGATTGAAAGAAGAAAAGGTAAAGAAGATTGCTGAAGAAAGAATCCAAAAAAAGAAAAACAAAGTTAAAATTGGTTGCTCACCTATAACACATCAACCAACATTAGAAAATTTTGTCCAGTCTGAAAACAATGTCATTCCATTATTGTTAGAAAAATGTGTCAAATTTATTGAATGTGAGGGATTGGATTCTGAAGGTCTATACAGAGTGCCAGGAAATCGATCTCACGTTGAACTTTTATTTCAGAGATTTGAAGAAGGTAATAAGTTTAACATATACAATTAACTAATGTTACTGGTAAAATGATCTTCAGAAAGAATAAAACAATTATTATCAGTTAATCACATAATTATTTATATATTTCATTAATAATTCTATAATATTTATACTATTTTCAGATAATGATATTAATGTTACAAGTCTTGATATACCTGTGAATGCAGTAGCTACAGCATTAAAAGATTTTTTTTCAAAGAAATTGCCTCCCTTATTTAGTGACACCTTAATGGATGAATTGGAATATTTATCTGGTAATAAATTTTACTTTGTGTATATTATTATTTAAATATTAATGTCTGTAAAGTGAAAGTCACTATTCTTAAAACGTCATCCAGAATTTTTTGTTTCAGTTAAAGCTGACAGAAGTTGCAGGCTGATGGCTCTCAGAAATCTTTTAAAAAAATTACCAAATGTAAATTTCGAAATTCTTAAATTTATATTTCGCCATTTTGTAAAGTAAGATAATAAATTGCAATATTATTACCATTTATTAATATTAATTCTAAATTCAATAATTTTGTTGTATTATCAGGGTTGCAGAAAATTGTAAAGCGAATAGTATGGATTCTAAAAATTTAGCTATATGCTGGTGGCCAACATTATTACCGATTGAATTCAACGACATGGGCAGATTTGAACAACTAAGGCCTCACTTGGAAGACACTGTTCAAACAATGATAGACCAATATCCTTTTTTATTTTGTGGCAAAGACGCATTTGTCATGGTATGAAAAACATGAATATTCAAATGGACAAAAGAATGTAATATATTATAATAATTTAAAGGTTGTTTTTGCCTATAAATTAATGTATAACTACAACTAATATTAATCCTAGCCAAAGATAAAAGTTATGTATGTTGTTTTTTTTATTTAGAATAATATAATATTAAGTAACCTCTGTGTGTTTACTATTATGAAATTAATATTAATTTCAAAATTAAAAGTTACATTAGAGAATCTAACAAAGTTAGACAATTATCATTAATTAAAAATTGGGCCACTAAGTACAATTTTAAAATAACAAACTTTGGTCTTTACATTTTTTTGTATACATATAATATAAAATGTACATATAAGTTTGTAGTGAATTTAAATTGTTTGGTACAACCAACATGTCTATGGTGCTTATTAGCAATATTATTAGTTGCAAAAGATAAATTTAATAATACTATTTTATTTTGCATGCAACTTTAATGTTATTGATTGTCAGTGATTCATATTTAATAATTTATTATAATATCAGAAGCTAGAACCACCAATCAATACTCTTATTAATGCAAATATTTAATGAATAATATTAGATAAATTAAATTTCACTAATTAAATCTAACTAAAGTTTATAATTTTCTTACTTATTCTAGTCACTTCTCTAAATTATTTTAATATTTTTAAGAATGTAAGAAATTGTTTTTAATTATATTCATTTTATGTGTTTTATAAATGAATATATAAATTATCTTTATCTAATCATTATCCCTTTAAATTAGATACCAATTGTTATAATCACACAATATTAATTCTTATTTATAAAATAAGTTGGTTTTGTTAGGATTAATTGACACTAGTTTTAAAATTAAGAAAAAGTATCTATGAGTATTACTTAAAATTATCTTTCATTAAAAATATTTAAATCCTTTAATCTGTTTTTTAGATTAAAGCTTAACATTTTTACATATGTTATGAATTATTATTGAACAAAATATTTCACTTCTTATTTCCCATGAATTTAAATATTTAAACTAGCATAATTACATCATCCTTAATACTATTCATTTATTTTTTCTTCTTATATCAAAAAAATATTAATATTAATTAGTTTTAAAGAATACACTATTCCTATCTTTAGGATTTTTACCATTTAACAAGTTATTGATTTTAATTTTTACCATATTAGAGTAGGTAAAATTTAATTTTAAATATTATTTATACAGGTTTTTATATGTATAAAAAGAAATAATAGTAAACACAAAATTAAATTTTCATTACAATAATGTAATTATATTTTATCTATTTTTTATGAGTATAATTTGTATACATACATTAATAATAAATTATTATAATAATTGTCATGCACATTTATATTAATAGCAACATGATAAAACTATAAATTTGTATACTAATTTATTAATTTCCTAATCTATTGTTCTCAAAATCAATATTAATTATGTTAGTACAATAAAAAAAATGATACTCAAATTTTAAACAACCAATATTTTGTTCATATTATTTATTTAAAAGTATGTAACACCATGGATAAGTATTAAAATTACATCTCTACCTTTAAACACATAACACAATATCATGTCTCCAATTTATACATTTTTATTGTGACTTTTATGTGTATATTAACAATAATTTATTATTATTATATTGTTGATACATCAATGTACACTTGCATCAGTTCGAAATTAATTGTAAAGTTTCATTTTCAACATCTTAAACTAAATAATGAAATGATCTATGTAGTAGTTATATAATTATCATTAAAATAAACAATTAATTTGATTAACTGGTGCAAGTTTAATGTGGAATTGTATTATTTATAGATCATGGACTATATTTCTAGTCAAAGAATTATATTTCGTTAATTTAATATAAGTATCTCAAAACAATTTAATTGGTTTTTTTTTTTTATACTAGTTTAATATTACACCATAAGACTAAGTATATTAATATCAGCAATTGACAGCTTTTATTGTTAATTATTATAAAGTACACCTTCTGAAATATGTAACAATAAATTCTATCACTCAAAATGAAACCATTAAAAAATAACTCAACCGAACAAATAAAATATTTTGCATTCAATATTAAAGGAGAACATCATATATTATTCTAATATTATAAATACTTGTGCATACATTTAAATTTAATGTATACAGATAAATCAATATTGAAACATTTGTGTAGTTATAATTTAACATTATACTTTATAACAATTTAAATAAAAATATCTGTTGTATATTTGTTAAAATTAAATTAATTTATTAACTACTGAATACATGCATATTCTAAGATCAATAACTTAAAAAAAAATGTATACGCTAAAAAATAAAAAATAGTCTTAACATTTTTAAATACATAGGTCATAAATAATTTTTTAAATATTGATTAATCAGTTGAAAATCAATATAATTTGTACTTTTATCTTTATATTATACTTATATTGCTTAATAATTACAATTCTATAGTTAGCCACATTTTTTCAAAAGCATTAGAAAATTCACTGACAATATCTGATTGAGTTGTTATTAAAACATGTTCCCAGTTATCAAAAGTGGCTTGGTGTGTCCAATTCATTGAACCGGTAATTAAATTAGTGGAATCAACAATACAAAATTTATGATGCATATATTTATGACTATTCTTTTGATATTTCATTGGAATCTTTAGAGAATTTATTAATTTAATTTCTTTACAATGTATTAACAGACAATTACTAACTATTAATCTAACTACTACTCCACGAGAATATGCATTACATATTGTTGAAGCAAGTATTTCATTAGACAATGAAAATACACAAATATCTATAGAATTTTTAGCATTATTAAGACAATCAATGATATGCTTTGTGTTAACACTTGAACAATTAACATTACCGCATTGGATATTAAAACTTGCTCGACAAAAGCAATTTTTCTTTTTGAGCGGTTTATAAATTAATACTTTAATGGAATCTTTTGGTTTCTTATGTTTGTTTATTTCTAACCAAATTATAGTAATTGAAGAACTTATACATGCTATAATACAATTTGTCAACATTACAGATCCAAATCTGAAAACACAATAAAAAGTTCAATCAAATATATATTCATATCGGTGAACATAAAATAAAATATGTAATGTAAATAGTTAACATAATATTCAATCTATAGCCAAGATTGTCAAACTCAAATTCCAAACTGGGTCAAAAAATTTAAAAGAAAGTTGAAGGGTGCAGAAAAATTGCAGTTACAATGAAATACCCACATAGAATTTTTAATATTATAATTCTGTTTTTTTTTTTTAAGTAGATTAAAGTTTTATACCTAATAAATTGTTGATATTTAACAATGAGGTTATTAAGAATTGTGAAAGGATATATCAACAGTCGACCATCCTACATTGAGCAGGACATCCCTAAATTTGTTTGACTTGTCTTATATCCAAAAACACTTAAACCTTAATGTAGGAAAATTCTACATTATAACTTACCATATAGGTACCTACTATACCTACCTATTTGCATACCAATATTAACCCACCTATATGAAAAAATATATTTTTAAAAATTGTTTTTCTTTTATTACTTTGATATACTATACTATTAATAATAAAATATTAAACCAAACTATTTTCCAAAAAATGTTTAATTTAAGTAATTGCAACCCAAAGTCGTATGTGCACATACGAAATGCCTGAATAAAATTAAAACCTTAAAATTAGATTCAGGATTCCTGATGAAAAATACAAATAATTTTTGTTTCATAAGCTTGAAGAAATTGGTTTCAAAACTGACAAATCAGACTTTCATAATTGCAAGTAACAAATTGTTTACTAAATAAATAATAATATATATTGTTATAAATAACAAACAAAGCCTAAAGTACAGAATGAAAGACAGAAAAAGAAAAATAATAAATAGTTTAATATTAATTTTAATTAGGTAACAGTGATTGAATTAGGTGAATAAGAGTGATAGTTGGAGAGACTATTAGCTAGACGGATTAATCAGTCACGAAGATGATTGCGGCAATCAAACGTAGTACGTTCATCTATTACATTTGGAACAAATAGAGAGCTAGGAAACTAGGAAATTAATACAGGAGAGGAGGGAAGGTGCATTAAATGAGCAATTTAACATTTATAAGTTTAGTTAAGAAAGGTAGATTAGCACTCGTTAGCATCAGTACGTCTATCGGCTAGGTTTAACAAGCCTAACTCCAGCAGAACAAGAGAATAATAAATATTCTTCAAATAATTTACGTACTTGAAATTCATGGTAAATTTCTCACAGAAAAAATTGTATTTTAATTGTCACTGGGCAAATTTTCAGTTTCCAGTTTCGGTTCAAAAGTTTAATAACAGAAAAATTCAGTGTGTACTGTGCACTACGGTTAGTAATAATAATATTTATTGTACACGAATGGATTAGAGCAAGAAAAACGTCTAAATGTCCATGGCGCCTTATATACGTTTATCGTTGTTGAAATTATCACTATACCAGATAAAATCACGAATTATATATATCTTAATTCGTGGATAAAATTCATGTGCGAATCATGGACAAACTGGAAATTCGTTAGTACAAACCGGTGTACCGATAAATTTCATACCGGTTTACTAACATTTGATAACAATTATTTTACACTAGTATAGATATTCGACGATGGGAATCAGTGTATCCCCACCATTGTCCAAAATTAATAATGAAAATACTATCAGTTAAATATTAATCAATTATTTAAATTATTAGTGAGATTACTATATTACTTAGATCGTATAATATGAATAATTGCGTATATCGAATTGTGTCCAACATCATCTCCACCACTTTTAAAATTTCTTGGTACACGACACAGAAGCGCATGCTCAAAAATTAATTGCTCCAATTAGGTGCTAGTGCAATTATATGCATAGCTACATCCATAGTATAATATGATCTAAGGCGTATTACCTATACTACTTTGCTTTCCGTTTCCCGCTATTAAGTACTTAATAAAAATGAATTCGAATAGGTGTTAATTATTATCAATTGAATTATTATTTTTATCATTTATCTGTTCGTTTGTTATTTCGAGGGGGAAATGAGAGGGGATACAACCGGTGTAGTTTTCATCATATGCATGTGATGGTGCAGATAAATTAAACCAGTGTCGCTAATTTTAATACCGGTTACTCCAAAAAATTTCTCAAATACACACCGATTTGATTTTCAAGGAGAAATTTACATAGGTTTGTACAGGCTATTTAATATTTAATATTTATAATATGTATGATGCAAAATATACAAAACTTAACACCGATGTAATTTTGTCTTGAAACCGAAAAAATTTCAAAACATTTTCATATATAAATATAGGTAGGTAATAATCACAATATTGCAATTATAGTAGGTAGGTCTTGTATGTACTATATTAGGTACGTACCTAACCTACCTATATTATTTAACAAAATACATAATAAATCTAGGATGAAAAGTACAAAAAAGAAGACCGTATTATTTTTAACCATATACCTACATTTTTTACATTTTTCCTTAGTTTTTTCAGTTTTTTACATTTGATGAGAAAATCAAAAAATGACCTCCTTAAAGTACCAACCTCTCCTTTCAGATTTCCTTTCAGAAAAAGTGCTACACTCATAAATCGGAGCAAGATCACTGGTAAAAAAGTTGTACACAAAAAAAAAAAAAATAAACATATTTTTAAAACCATAAGCTTTTTCGCTCCACTCGAATCTAAAAGTCCGTACTTATTTTTTTATTGCCGGACAAAAATCGAGCACATTTTTACATTGTACAAAAATACAAATAATAATTTAAAACAAGTTACTTATGTTTTGAAAAATAGTCAATATACTTACCTAGATACCCAATTATAGTAAATTTCTGTTGTATTTTTGTTGGATATAAATATCTAGGTAATTGAAAAATAATCGGTTTATTTATCTACATCGTCAGTAAAAGGAATAAAAAGAAGATAATTTTTATTTTAATAATTTTTTTCAGAATTTTTGTCTGACAATAAAAATGTGCTCAGGCTTTTTTCAAAACGGACCTTTAATTCCTGGATTTTTTGGCCAATTTTTTCAAACATTGATTACTCGAAAGAAAAATTATAGATAACTCTGTGATAAATCTGTTTTCTTAATTTAAGCGAATAATTTTTATAATCATTTATACATCCCATAATTTAACTTAATTGCGTTTATTGTGTTTATTATCAAATTTTTCATTTGATAATAAAAATGAAATTAATATTTATTTATTAATAAAATAAAATAATTCATTAATAATTAATAATTTGACTACAATACGGATACACATTTTAAAAACTCTTCAAGTCAAATTATTTTCCTAAAACCTTAATAGGCAAGTCGAAAAAATTGTATTTCTCTTGAATTTCGACTTATCGAGGTTCCACTGTAATGTTATTGTTATATAAATATATCGGTAATGTTAATTAAATATTATGTGTGACTATTATATTTTTGTTTTACATAATAAAAACAATTTTCATTAATTCTGACTATGATCTTTTCCTCAATATTACTTATATAGTTTGTATTTAAACAATTCAACTAGTATACTATTTTTTTATTATCCAATAAATAATATCTCTTGAAATATTGACTATAACAGGTTGTTCAAAATAAAGCTGTAAATAATAAAATTAATATTCAGCTGATTTAAATTTTAAATTTACCGCCAAAATAAGACCAAAGGCGGTTATCTATAGACTATGGTTAGTACTATGGTACACTGTCAAAAACCGGAGGCACTGTTTTCAATATCCTTAACTTTAACTACAGATAATTATAAATAATTATGTTATCTTTGGTGGTTTCAGACAATAGATATTCCACGTTTTCAAACGTGACACATCGATACGGTAGCTCGGGTTACAATAACCGGTTTAGTTTGATAATCCGTGACTAATGTGTTGGGTATGTGGCGTGAGTTGCGGTCACGGCTATAGAAATCAAAAATCTTCAGCCGTGGTCCCGGTACTAACAAGCCAGTTTTCGTGGTGACGACTATAAGTTATACAGGTTGGAAACCTAATTGGTTGGCGGAGTGCGTGGTTTGGACCGAATATGCAACGTCTTGCGGTACAACGACGTCTGTTGCGCCATCTATTTTTACCCACCTCTACCATAAGTTGCATGTGAAAAAATCATAAACCAGTCTATTTATATAAATTAGTTTATAGGTCTATGGCAAATATCTTGTACCCTTGCGTAATTTGTATAATTTTTAGATCTAGTCCTATTAAGTTATCTTTTCAAAAAGGTGTTAGTTCAAAATACACTATCTATTCTGTATTATTATCGTTATTATGTTATTGATATTACACCACTGATATTATTACTATGAAGTACCTATCTATATCCGTGCGTAACCCATAATAAAACGCTACAAGTAGCTTTTAATAATTTAGTCTGAATGCCTATTTACTTCAATATTGTTAGGTATATAATTCAAAACAATTCTTAGTCTAGTGTGTTTTGTAAAAATATTATAATAAAATATACATTGTAATATCTATATGAATATCTATGTACGCAAATGACAAATGAACAACATTTTACAAATACACCTAGATAGCGTTAACATCGACGTTGAACCATTTAGAGTTGTACATTGGATCCGCCGGTAAGTCGTTTTCAATCTGTGGACTGCGGTATTGTAGTTATTGCCGGTATAAAAACATTTTTTTTTTTTTCAGTACTGATTATGGTGGTCTGTAAATTCCTGTAATGTTATAATCTGGAATTTATAAATTTAAAATCCGTAAAAATCTAATATTCCATTTTTTTTCACGCGCTCCCTTAAAATATCACATTTTTTTTTAGTTTATGTGTACAACCTAACTACCAAAATATCAGATTTATTGCGTTTCAGAAGACTATTAGGTAATGTGCATCTTATTTATTACATTTAAAAACATGTGTACTTATTTCGTAATAATTGTTTTATTACGAATCGTAGGAACCCGGTACAGTTCAGCGCGGTAAGCCGTAAGGATACACGTCATTACACATGGATACACGTCATCACTACACCGATATAGAGACTTAACCTACACTTGCTCGCTCGGACTGTTTTAATCAAAAATAAACTTTGATTTGTCGTACAAAACCACATCATGGGGTAAGTAATAAGGGGAAAAATTATTTTATACATCAATATTATATTGGGTTCGAACCTGAAGACGTATCATTCGTACACTCATATTGTTTTTATCGTAATCCTTAAAATTGTGTTTAATTAATTATTTTGCAATAATTTTAGTTGGGAAAAACTAATAGGGGTCATGTGACAAAAAAAATATAATAAAAAATAATTGCTATATAAACGCCGAGAATTAAAATTATTTCGTAAAAATTGTTCTAGATAGTTCAATAATTATTATAACTCATTGAAAATTCCTTGGCTGTAAAAACGAAAATATTCTACTTGATAAATTATTTTGAGGAAAATCGCAATAATCACTTTAAAAAAAAGTTATTCTTAAATGTAAAATAACATAAAACCCGTTTTTTTTGCTCCCTTGGAAACCAAAAAAAAAATGTCGCCCGAGTCCTTCTGCCTATACACCATCGATATAAAAATCCACGAGTGGGTGGGGCTTAAGGTTTTTGTTTTACCTAAAGTATAAAAAGTGTTCAGCACGCCACTGCAGCTGTACAACAATATTGTTTATCTATCTCGATGCCCGTTAATAACTAGCCAACATACACACATAAGTAAATAAGTGGTGTTGTAAATAAGAAACAAGTATAAATTCAACACAAAAACAAACAAAATAGTAAATATTTAAAATTTCACACGAAAATACGAAATGCCGATGCCGAATCCCGTTACCATTGATTATATAATATTCTGTACTAGCGTTTCTCAAACTATGGGTCGCGACCCACTGGTGCGTCCCGAGTCGATTTTCGGTGGGCCATGAAAATTATTTTGAATTATATAGATTCCAAGAAATATAAATGTTTTTAGATTCTAAGCGGAACATTGGAGGAATGCATTGGTTCTATTGCGTTTATTTTTACATATTATTTGTAAACAAGTTTTCTACCAGCAATTTAGCTCAGATTTTCAAGTTTAACATTTTTTCTGCAAGGAAATCCGACTGGAATGGTACTTAAAGGGGATAATTTTTACTTTTTGAAAAGTGAAACCGTGTGGGTCGCGATAGATTTTCACGGAAAACTTTGGGTCGCAGTCGTAAAAAGATTGAGAACCACTGTTCTATACACAATGGTAAATACCACAGGTATCTATAATATTCTATAATCAATGGTGTCATGCACTGATATATTTTCATGTCCTCTGGTGGTGGGGGAAGCGCCTAAAAACATGAGTCGTTTTCAGTATCAGTGGACGTTCTCATTCATAATATTTACAGATTTATTATTATCTATGGACGTTCTCTACTATTATTTATTCGTCTCTATACCATACTATGATAATATTGTCATATATTTTTAATTACAATTAACTATAATGCCTATAGTGTCTAGATATCAAGACTTGAAAGGTAGCGTAAATCGTTATCAAAGAAAAAATAATTAATACAAATTGTACAAATTATGTTCAACGTGGTTTATGATTCGACTGTACTGAGCAATTTTTCGGGCAATATCAGGTGCCAGCTCTAAGTACAACCGTGCACACGTATGGATAACGCTAACATACTTCTATCACAAGGTGGATTAATTTATTATTAAGATATCATTAATATGATTATAACTTTTTGACTGATAGTACAACTGTGATTTGATATCAGTTGTTCAAGTTCATTCGAGTTAGAACATTAAAACTTCATATTCTGTATAGGTACTTAGGTACCTATACAAGATTGGTTTTACATTTTTAAAATAAATAATTACTTCAACTATTAAAGTTATATTTTTCGATTAATAATTGTCCGGGATGAAATATATAATAACATAATTACTATATAACGAGTATTAATTATTATTTCTTTAAACTATCTAATAGAAACCTACTTAAATTACTGTTAAGCGATGTTTATTTTCGGTCGAATCACTAATTATACCTGCGCATACTTTTAATGATTGACATGTATATACTTTTACTGTGAAACAATATGGTCACCTAAAAGAAACGAAATACAAACATAATTGAATACTGATAAAACAAAGTAATAATCATTATTGGTAAATAATAAATTGTAGAATTATTATTTATAATGTCAAAATTAATTTATTTTTCAGAATTGCTGAAATTTTTGACAGACAGCCCGCCATAATGTTTGTTCTAACTATGGTTATTTTGTTTATAGTCATAGCGATTTTATTTATTATATCCAAAAACTATGTAGTAGAAAAACAAAAACATGATATCAGTCCGGACTTCCAAAAACTCCAACGGAGTTACCTGATTGTTTACTGCATGGCGTGTTTTGCTGATTGGCTTCAAGGGCCATATGTGTATAGTTTATATAAACATTATGGGTATAATGAAGGAGAAATCGCTGTTCTGTTTATCGTAGGTACAATATCTAATAGTTTATTCGGAACCTTCACAGGTGCACTTGCCGATAATTATGGTCGTAAAATACTTTGCATTCTGTATGGTTTATTGTATTCAGGATGCTGTATCACTAAACTCTATGAAAACTATAGGTTATTACTTCTTGGACGTTTGCTAGGAGGTATAAGTACATCTATTTTGTATTCAGCATTTGATTCATGGTATATCAACGAACATGTCAATTATTATAAATTGCCTAATGAGTGGTTAAATAATACATTTGCTAAGGCAACATTTTTGAATGCAATGCTTGCTATATTTGCTGGAATATTATCATATTTCTTGGTGAATATTTTAGAATTTGGACCAGTTTCCCCTTTTATCATGGCCATTCCGTTTCTTATGGCAACCAGTATATATTCAATCATGTCACTAAATGAACACTATATTTATAATGCGATTTCTCCATCTTCTTCGGTAAAAAATGCTATTGTCTTATGGTTAACGAATAAAAATATATTTACTTTGAGTATAGTTCAATCGTTTTATGAAGGCGTTATGTATTTGTTTATATTTATTTGGACTCCTGCTTTAGAGCCAATAAAACCACCATTAGGATTAATATTTTCCAGTTTTATGTTGGCTTTAATGATTGGTTCTAAAATATATTCAATAATGTCGGCGAATAATGTATTAGATTCAACTAAACTTTTAGAAATATCTACCTTCTTGGCCAGCTTTTCATTTTTAATATGTTCAGTTGTATCAACAGTCACTTTCACTAATTACTCACCATATACAATTCAAATTTGTTATTTGTTTTTCATATTTTATGAAATTTCTATAGGTATATACTTACCATCTATGACATATTTAAAAAGTCATGTAATACCTGAAAAAGTTCGAGTTACTATATCAAATGTCATTAAAATTCCAAGTAATATGTTTATATGTTTAGCACTGTTATGGATACATTTAAAAGAAAAAAGTCATAAGACTGATGGTGATATTATTTTCACAATTTATAATGTTTGTTTAATTGCAACGACTTTTACATTCATGTGCTCAAAAATATTTTCTAAATTTCATCATAAAACTTACAAAGATGGAATTAAACATTCTGATGTTGAAGTATAAATATGGCATTATAATGTAATATTAATGATAGGTGCCAATAAAAATTAGTTTCGAATTTAAGCAAATTATATATTATATAAGCAAACTAATGTTTTAAACAGTTACACATTTATATTTTTACATTCACCTACTAATATAAAAGTTAAATTATTTTATTATAAATAATATATTACTAGTAAATCATATCATACATATACGTATTTATTATTTTATAATTTATATATATACTAATATAATTACTGGTACCAAAAGGTAGTCAAATGTTATAAAATAACAATCATTTGTTTTTCAATTAATATGTTTTTATTAGCTATATATTTGTTTATATTAATGTTTAGCTCAATTAATGTGTTCAGCAGTTAATTTATTATTGATCAATGTAAAACATTTTATGATAGTTTTTAATTATAGATATTATTATATTATACTATCTATCAAATTATATTTTTAATACTATACAAATTGTACACTATTCATTTTTAAAAGACTAATGTAATATCTAATAATAAACATTCATTATCAAAATATAACCCACTATTATGATAATATGACAATATAATACATATCATTGGTATGATTTATTTGTAATTTTACATTATACACTGTTATATACTTTGTGACCCTCAATATAATTATAATAAAATATATTATCTGTTGTAATTATTCTTAATTAAATAAAATAAAGTGTACAAGCCATGAGAAATACAACACATATATACAGGATGATTCACTAAGCATACTTTCCCCATTTTTTAGTTAAATTTTGCATGTATTCAAATTCTGATTTTTGGAATTTTTAATTATAGTTAAAACTGATAATTTTAAATACTTAGAATTTTCAAAACACTGAAGGAATATTCTGTGGTGATACCATAAACAATTTTAACATCAATGTTTATTTTAAGTGATACTAGCAAAGAATTTTTAATATAGGTTCTCATTTGGAAAATCAAATTTGGTATCGCCACAGAATATTCCTTAAATGTTATTAAAAATCTAAGTATTTGAAAATATTGGCTTTAATTACACTTAAAAATCAGAATTTGATTATTATGTGCTAAATTTAACAAATATATATTATATTATAATATATATTCAGATATACATTAAATTTCTCTCTACCTTCCCAACTTCTTACCTATAACAGTGGCCCAACTATTGTGTGAAGTATGTCTGTTTATTTTTTAATATATTTCTTATTTATATAGGTATACTATATATAGGTATAATAATCTATTATAGGATCTATTTTGAGTGTTAGCATTTAACACCATTAAACTATATACAATTGGGGTAACTTTTAATTTAATAATTAAATTATTTTAAGTTATTTAACAATTTGTTGCATATTTTGTGTAATATATTAATATGATTATTGATTACTAACACTAATTATTATGATTAATAAAGTACATAAAATAATGCATAAGTATTTGTTTTTATATTTATTACATTTAATAGGAAGTAGATTATCAATTTTGAAGATCTCTTAAACTAAGATATTATTTTTTAAAATTAAGTGAAAATACTAAATTACATTTATATTAGGCATTTAAAATTTTTAATCGAAATTTAACATTCCTAAGAATCCTATACAATTTTTCAATAAATCCATATATAAGTACTTTAAAAATTAAAACTGAATGCTGAGAAATATGTTTAATTAAACAGCTATATCACTTCTCCTTTAATGAGTACCTATCAAAGTGTAAATAAATAGAAGTATTATCAGTAAAATGGTAAAAACTAATTTTTAAATTTAACATTGAGGAAAATGGAAAGTTGCTCTGTTGTAACCCTGGTTAAGTCTGAGAGTTATGTTTTTATTTTTTAGTTAGTTTGTTAAAATAAGTAAATTATGTATTCAATATTTACATTACATTAAATACATTACTATCTAGTACATGTCTAGCTCAGACTACCTGATGTGCATAAGTTCGGCTGTGCAGGGGCTCTGATCCCATTAATTTATTTTATTTTTATTATCTTGTAATCAAGGAATTATTAATTTCCACATCCCGGTCTATCCTTCAAGTCACACATTTTTTCATATCTGTTCACTCTACCTCTTATGGTCACAATCATCTACTACACATTATGCTTCATAATGCCAATAATGCCATTTGAGTACATTCTAACTTGTTATTTAACTATTTACTTTTTGTTATCCATTTATATATAACTATATTTTATTGCTTACTGTATTTTTTGCTAAAATTGAATATAACTATATAAGTACCTACAAATATTCTTATTTTGTACTGTTATGAATCAACCAATTAATTAAGGAGACGCTCCAACTTATTTTTGGTTTTAGAGTAAAAGCACCAATTATAAAATTAAAAGAGAACAAGAAAAGTCTTTCCTATTATTCTTATCATTATTCTGGTTATAATTTTCAATATATTGTTAAAAATGAAACCTAATATTTCGTTTTTAAACTATTAACTCTTTTTCATTTTATAATAGGTGCTTTTACTCTAAAACATTAGCGAGTTCTATGCAAACTGTCTAAGGTAAATTTTGCTATATCACTCGTTAGTTGGATTAAGACAATACCTACAGGTATAGCGTCCTCTTAAGTAATGTATGTTTCCAATATCATATTCCCTTTTTTTGATGAGAAAATCGAAAAATGACCTGTTTAAAATACCTTCTTAGTCAAATTTACTTTTAGAAAATTTGATATTATTTTAAATTAAAGTAAAATTGATAGTAAAAAAATTGTGTACAGAAAAAAATCTTAATATTTTTTAGTAAAATATTTCGTACATTTGCCTGTTTTTCCTAAGTTTTCTTCAGTTTTTCACATTTGATAAGAAAATTGAAAAATGACTTCTTTTAAGTACCTCCCCACGCTGATTTCCTTTCAGAAATGATGCGCACAGGTAATAAAAAAAAAAAAACATCTTTGTAAAACCACAAGTTTCTTTGACCACTCAAAATCTAAAAGACAATGAAAACATGTGCACTAAAAAAAGTGAAATATACTCTTTAAATGGATAAATTATAGAATAAACACAAAAACTATTGTTAATTTACTAGTAAGTTAATACAAGCGGTTTAAGGTCTTATAAATATAGCCCTTTATTAATATTTAAATATGATGACTATATAACTCTAAATAATATGTGTATCCGTCTGGGAGAACATAAAAACTTACTTAGCAATAAATCTAATCAACACCATAATCTAAATCAAAATAAAACACTTATTTTTTTAAAACTATAATTGCAAACGCCTATTAAATGTTGAGTAAGTATTATGTGCAATGTTGAGTATTTAATATATATCTTTTGGGTCAATATTGTTTTATATAATATCTCTTTCAATATTAAGAATAGCCAAGGAAGAAAACCGGTTTGTGTTATAGTTGACTGTACATAAATATTAACAGCCTCATTGTTGAAAATGACTTCTCACGTGCAGCTAAAGAAATTGTTAAGTTAGAGTTAAGTTTAAGAGTTTAAATAAACTCGGAAAAGTTAATATTTTTGGAATAAAATTATTTGATGTTTGTATCCAGGTTCATTATTATCATAGTCAATATCATTTTGAATTCAATTTTTGGCAACCATAATTTCTGCTTAAACTGAATTCAAATCCACTTTAGGTAAATCCTAAAAAATCAGAATACATTAGGTTTACAACTTAAAGTAATAAAACAATTAGTACTCTCATGCTACAGTTTTTGAGAAGGCACATTAGTATTATAAGTTTTCACTTAAGTTGATTTAATTATTTGCATACCTTATATTTTTGAATAAAAAATAAACTTTTATCATAGTCTAAATTAAAAAAGTAATCAATAGCAATTGCCAACTACAAACTCTCTGGAGAAAATTTTGTTTTCATGTTATTTACAACTTCATCTATTAGTGGATAGTAAGCATGCATTTTCCAGTAATCAATTACATTATTTTCACTATCAGATTCCTCATTTTCAGCTGCAATTGTAGTTAAAACATTATTCAGAGATACAGGTTCAGATCTTTTCCATTTACTGTTTAGACATTATTAATGAAAATATATTATAATAAATTAGTAAAATATTTATTTAAAATTTAACTATTTATTATTTGTAGTGGGGGCTTCTTGTTCAATATTATGTTCTTTAAAAAATGTTACTATATTTTTCCGAATTTCTATGTACATTTCAGAGGCTCAATCATCTTAGTTTTAATGACTGAATTTATTAAACCAGCTGCTTGTGTTCTTTTTTTTATTTTATAATTGGTTGCTTAGAATATTAATTATATTTAAAACATAGTTTATGAAATAAAGGCATTTAATAGATGATCCTTTTTGCAAACATGAAAGAATACCTAAAAAAAAAAATAATAAAATTATTGTAGGTACTTTTAAAATTAGTTATTAGTTTTCCATATAATATTGATAAACATTATCTCAAATAACTGTTAACAAACCAATTGCTCTTGAAACATCTGTTATTATCTTCAACTTCTTGATTAAAAATAATTATAATTGTTTTGAAGTTGTCTATAACTGCCTTGCAATTTTTATGGTGACAAACCCATCTAGTATCACTAATTTGTGATACAGTACATATTTGTATATTAAAGGTTTTGCATGTCTTGCAACATTTTGTTCTTGGAAGGCATTGAGAAATGGACATATATGATCAACAACATATCAAAAACTTGTTATGTGTAATTAAAAATATATACATATTTTTATAATTTAATTACCTATTAATCCATTTAATGTTAATAAACACTAAAAGATGGAACTTAATTTAACATTATTACACATATCAACTATAATGTAAGTTGCATATGGATAGTGTAGTTTTATTTTAGTTTAATCTCAACCTTGTCTGCTAGACATTACAATAGCTCCATCACATGATTGCCCAACAATAGGAACTTCGTCAAATTGTCACAATTAAAAAAGTTGAGAATTGCATTTACTAAAGTCTCAGCATCTTGTTTCTCAGATACGTTTAAAATTGTTGGTATATCAAACACAAACAGACATTTGCATCTTGTTTGTGGCATCTATAATTTATATTATTATGTTATTGTCGTGATAAAATATGAAACATGATTATGATAAATAAATGTAAAATGAAAATAATAATAAATATAAGTATTATGAATATTCTGTGGTCTTCGCATTCAATTTAATTAGTTGGACTACATAGATAACAATACATCTTTATAAATTGTGTCAAATATAAATAAACAATTATTTTAAAATTAATATAGTCTAAGCTCCTCAGGGACTAATCTTTTAAATGGGGGCTTTGCCCCCTATGTACATATGATGCTTTTGATTTTTCCATGAATCGCACCAACAAAAGTAATAAAAAGTATTTAAAAACTAAAAAAAAAAATAATTGATTACTTTAGCAGTGAAACCCAGTAAGTAGATAATACATATAAAACTTGAAAGACAAAAAATGGAAAATGCAGCATTTCATATCTATAATTATTATACAAGTCTTCTTCCCCATTGCCTTTACCCAAACATTTATGGGTATAACTTTTATACAAGTTAAACATTTACAAAAAATGTATTATATTTTAAATAAGTGAATATATTATAATAACAAATATAAATTATAATAATTTAACCTAGGTATGGTTCAGTATGATAAGCAACGATTATAGGTATGCCCATTACTCAATTAATTTATGGCACGGTATTTGTTTATTAAACAAGGTCAGTTATAATTGTAACCACGATTCGTAGTAAAATAACAATTTTGTTAAAATACAATTTAATTTCAATTATAAAAAACACGGTGCAATACATCAGCAGGCTAATTTGTACTAGGTATATTTAAAAAAAACCGCAACCGCCCCCTCCTCACCAAATGATGTCCCTGGTCTAGAAATATAAAAATTAAATTTATGAAATCAAATGATATACTGATTAAAGAAGTAGAAAACTAAATTGACTGGGTAAAAGATATTTAAATTTACACAAATTCCAAATACTATTTTTGAAAGTACCCATATAAACAGTAGGATAGTTCTATAACTAGGTACCTATTACAAACTAAATTAATAACGATTTATTGACTTATCTTTATTACATCAATTAAAATTAATTCGTATAAAAGTGAACTGCTAATTGATTCTTTAATCAAATAAACTCAAATAGTGGAATTTAGTTTGTATAACTTACAAACAGTATGGATTTAACGATAAAACGAGTTCAGTGAAATTTGTTTCAATAAATTTAAATTGAAGATTTTATTAATCTGTAACTGCAAATTAAATTAAAATTTACCATATTTTTAACGCATTTATTGACACACATTTAAACCTTTGAAACGGACAAACGAAAAAAAAAATCAAAATCGTAATTACAA